GAGTAAGAGAAAGAGGCTTGGCCAACCTGAAGTCTGAAGAATAACTTGGTTTCTGAGCGTTCCGTTGTGATTTATTGCCGAGGACTGTCTGTTTCGAGGGAAAAGTCGATCGGAAGGAACCCAAAAAGTTGTTGAACCGTAATCCGAAGGAGGATTGCCGCGGAGTGAGAAGTCATAAACTCTCGGTACTGCGACCCCGATTTATTGTGTACGTACATTCATATTCCGACAAAAGGAGTTACAGAAGCTTTAAGCTTAACGTTAGATCACCGCCCTGACATCTTTTTCTATCGTTAATTAGAATGAATGATTTAGTTATGAATATCATATTTCCCATGAACAGATATGAGCTCGTGTTCAGCTCCAAGTTTAGTTAATGGCTACATTGTCAAAGTAGAGGATCGTTTAATTAAAGAAGTACTTTCAGATCCAAAGCTAGCAGCTATCAGTCTGGATGGTAACTTTGCGGTTTTGCAAGACGGAAAAGAAAAATTAGACACATTTCAGTGCGGTGGTGGGTAAAGTGGACACTAAAGTGAGTAGATAGATGCTTAAGAAAATCACGCATGAATGCGTTATATTTCATTTCATTTCTAAGCATGCATATGCTGTCAAATTATGTATTATGATATTGATGATACCAAATTGTCTGCTTCTGTCAGAGGCAAGCCATCGACAGCAGAAAATAAGTAGATTGAGGAAAATTTCAGTTTATAATAATTATTTAATAGAAATAGTTGGGAATTAATTTTAACTACTCATAAGTAGAACGCAGGGTAACAGATATTTATGACATGACTTGTTTATTGATGTTGCCATCCTGTCAGCTTTCTAAAACGGTTAAGGAGTAGAAGAACTGAATAATGTGCAAATATAAACGAGGCCTTAATTTCAAAAGTTTTTGGACCTTCATTCCAGATTAGAGTGCGCCAATGTTTTGTGTTCATGTGACAATATCTGTTGGAGGAGACCTTCCGAGCCCTCTAGTTTTGAGTGCTATAAAACCCAACATCTTGCCGGATATGAGGACTTCGTGACTGAGCGGAAGATTAGGGCCTCGTATCATATCATAATTCTAGTCCCTCTAGGAATGAGGATGAAACCCCCTAAACGATGTTGAAACTGTAGCCTTGTTGAGAATACATTTTGGAAAGCAGGGCTCTGTGAATTCCAATGCACAGGTAAAGCCTATTCATAGGGGTTTTGGGACATTACACCACTCAAACTTAATAACCTTTTCCTGTGAGAGATATTGACAGTTTCTGAGGTTATGCATGTTTCGGTCAATCAAGCGCAGTGACGATGGGCCTGACAGGGCTTGAAAACTAACTGGCTAAGGTGGTTGCGTATAGTCTAAAATCTGACAGATGAACAAGGGTGCCTAGAAGGGGTAAGAAAGATGTGGCATTAAAAGCATGCCCCTATGTATAATGCTATAATAATAATATATAAAATAATATAATAAAAAATACAAGTTAATATATTATATATATAGTTTTATATTTAATGTGAGTACATTAAACCGAAAAACCCAAATATTTTCTATGACAATCGGCTACACTACTATAATTTTATTGAGTAGCATATGGATCATGAATAGGAATTCACATAATTAACGAACCTAAAATGTAGTTTTTGATTGCTTTGGCCCATTAGTCGAACGAATTGTGGTATGAATTAGAAGCGCTATAAGTTATATAGTCATATTCAGTCAAAAATTCGATTACATCAAGAGGTGAAAAATGAAGAAGAGTACAGATGGAAAAACCTTTTAGGAATTATAATAGAGCCAAATTGAATGGCCACTCAAGGCCTACTCATGAAAGTTGGGCTAAAATTCCATCACCCATCCTGAAATCACTTCAGGTGATCTCGGATAACTGCGAATTCTTAAACATTCATTATGGCCAAGTTCGAGCCTACTCACTTTGAGTATAAGTAGTATCGATGGCAAATACATTTAAATCTCATCGACAGTCGCAGCATAACTGTAACACGAGAGAGGACTTCCTCGAATCGCAACAGCGGCGCAGCGTTGCATGGCTGGCTTCTTTGCAAGTTTCGGTTTTTAATCCCGTCGAAGTGTGGAAGAAACTCAGGTTATATCGAGTTTGTCGTCCTACTTCGAGAAGAGCTATTTTGGGGGACAAGGCTTTGTGAAGTTGAATGAAACTTTGACGCTTTCCCCTCAATTCATTGTGACACTATCAACTATCGGTTCAAGCCGACTTTGTGTGAGCAATGTTCTCATTCATGAACTTCGTATAGTATCGAAGTCTGCGGTGTTAGCTAACCTGTACTTAATTGGTAGATTTAAGGAGATAAAGAGGACATTGCGTCTTCCATAACTTAAGGAATACTCAACAATTTTGAATTCCGAAGTAGGTTTTCGAGACTTCCAGTAAATTCCTCCTTACATGTATATATATATATATATATATATATGTATGTATGTATGTATGTATGTATGTATGTATGTATGTATGTATG